CTCTGTGTTCAAGAAAGCTCAGCTCTGAGGGGGCTTGACACTAACAACTCACTAAGAACAAGCAGCTGGAACAGCACAAGCACTTCACTCCTTGCTTCAACTGTTAGCAATGTCCAGGGAGCGCATCTCACATAAAACTCCTGCTCTTTACACTTACCACGTGAAGCTGGAGTCTCACAGCAGCTTCCTCACCACTGGAGGCCAGCGGCTGGTAACATAAATTTTCAGCTATTGTGCTTTATCAGTAGACAAAGCAATACTACAGCAAGACAAGCTTTACTTCTAAGATGAAACTTCTTTGTAAGCCAATGCCCTTAAGTGAGGCTGTGTTAAGAAAGTCACCAGGAGGGAACCCTTCCAAACGTGCAGCTCCCACAGCACAGGCGTGCACTCCACCCCAACAGCATCCCTGAAGAACAGGTCCCTCGGTGTCCACCACACAAACCCACAGTTCCAATAACCATGCTACAGAAACGAACGTTAGATGTGGCATCACTCTGGTCACAGTTTCTTACCGAACTACTGCAGAGCTGCGTTCTTAAGCACCACCAACAGCACAGCGGAGCTGGCACGTGGAAGTTCACTTTGTGTTCCTCAAGCACAAGGAACCTAAATTAGAAATGGGCACGCACAGGGAGCGGATGGCATCCGACAGCCCTGCGGGCTGGAAAGGGAAAGAAGTTGCTGGCACCATCGTTCGGGCAGATTTGCACAGCTGGCATGTGCTTCCTTTCAGCTGGCAGCAGGACCCTTCTGCTTAGGGAGAGGAGATCCAGATTTGTTCTCTTGTGGGAGGAAACAGACCCTCTGTCCTTTCAAGGAAAAGCATCAGAGAAGCCCTAGAAGATGCAGCCACCTCTACTAACTTTCTCTTTGCGCTAACAAGATTGTCTGAACAAACAAGCTCCTGATACGGCTACGCTGCAAAGTGGTCAACCCAGCCCTTCAACTACATCCAAGAACAAAATCAAATAGGTATTTTAAAAGCAAGTATTTTAATCACTGTGCCTGGGATCTACTCAAACGAGGATAAAAAACATGCTTTGTGTGCTATTCAGTGTTTGTAAGGGACAGCAAAGAAAAGCAGTTGCAACTGGCTGCCACACTGCAGTAGTGGAGGAGGCAGAAGCCATTTCTTGAGTTCACCAGTATCATATTTAAGAAGTGTTTTGACTCCCTAGTGTCGAGTTAAGCTTCCTTGTCTATTTGTACAGATGGTCAACCTTTCCCCCGGATTACAGTGCTTGCTGTGTAGCCAACAAACTGCTCTGCAGCCCTTGCACAACCTAAGAAGCCCTCATTTTCTTCTGGCTGGAATTTCAGATTTAGTCCTCAAAGACAGTAAGGGTACCAATGCCTTTTCCAATTTGGCTTTAGCTGCTGCTGTCAAAGACTGTCAGTGCATGTGCTTGATGACTGTTTTTTGTGGGTTTGTTGGGGGGGGTTGGGGGGGGGGGAATGCATGGGTTATTTTTCATTTTGGTTGAGGTTTTTTTGGTTTGTGGGGGTTTTTTGGTTTGTTTGTTTGGGGTTTTTTTTGTTTGTTTTTTTTTCAAAGAAAAGCACTTATAAAAAGGACCCCTGCCATCCCCTCCATATCATTGAGGGCATTGCTCTTTTTAAGCAAGTCTGGAAAGGTGAAAAGCTGGTAGCATAAGCTCTTCACTTGGAATGCTGGATTCTCGTACTACATCCACCTTACACCCTTTGAAAGGAAGAAACTTAAAAAAGCAAAACATTTTAGGGGTCTGAATGCTGTTATAACAAGTATGCACAATAAACAAACTGCAAAGGAAATTCACACACTAGAAGCCCTACTATACCTGTGGAAAGCAAACCTAGCTTCATAGGAAGTCAAACGCTCTTTTTTAAGGAAGAAATCTTCACAAGGAATTCCTATCCAAGAACTAAGTTCTTCATCTGCCAAAGGGAGACTATTCTCTCAAAATACTTGAGAACATGACGTACAGGTAGGCCAGTTAAGAGAGCATACTACTCAGTATCTCGAACACCCATAAATCAAACATAATGTATTTCACAACGTTGCTCTTTTGGGTGTACTTGGGATCCACAGTTTGTCAGTATTTAACACTAACATTAGCAAGAAGTTAACCTGTGCCAAGAAAAAAAATGTTAACACATTGCTTTTGAGGGTATTGTTTTAATAAGACATTTATTCCTCTTGGAATTTATTAGCTGATGAGGCCTGATAGAAAAAGCTCACTTTCGGATGACTCCATAATTAACATGCCTTAGTAAATCTGAAGGTCAGATCTCTGCTCCGAAAAGCTCCTTGGGCCAGTTTGCACATTTCGGTTAACGTATCACTAAACATCACTCAGCCGAAGTATCCAGGGTAGGAACTACCAAGGCAGAGAGACTGGAATCCCTGGTGGCTAGCTGAGGCACAGCCCTAACACAGCATCTGACAGCGTAAGCATCCCATCAGCAATCTGTTTCTGACAGGAGCATTTCCTGCCTTTTCCTTCAGATGCCACCCTAGCCTGGCTGCACACATAGCAGGGGTCAGAACTCGCATTCCTTGTGTCTCAAGGTGATGTTAAGCCTGGTGGAATGGTGGTCAGCAGGTCTTGCAAGAGACTGAGCTTACAGCTTGGCTTTAGATTCACCTTTCAGCAAGGGCTCAGTAGCCCTGAGTTATGGCAAACATAACTGATTAACTCCTGACAGACTAACTTCATACGTTAAAAACCCCCCAACGTCCAAATTGATATTCTCTTTACAGAATAGTTAAGACTCAAACTACAGCAGAGAAACTCATCTTACCAACTGCTTCACCTTAACCACCTGGCGAGCACCCACTGACTGCGCAACGATGGAGCTTGGCTGTGAGATTTTAATACTGATTGGGGTTCCCAGGACTGGTTTCAGAGGCTGGAGAGGGGTTGTGGCTGAAGATGCCACCGTAGAGACCAGCACCGGCTTTGCAGACTGGAGAGAGGACGTTGCTACCGCAGAGGTGAAGACTGGCTTGCCCGTTTGCAGAGCAGTCAGTCCTGACGTCGCCGTCGCGGTGGTGCTGACGGGAGGCGCAGGCCGAAGGGATGCTGTCACCCCCGCACAGGCAGGAACAGGCTTCACAGCCGGCACTGACGCCGTCGCCGACACGCTGGCAAGGGCTGGTTTTATGACCGGGGAGGCTGTGACTGTTCCAGCGGCAGACACTGGTTTTACAACTGGAAGAGACGTTGTTGCTACAGCTGAGGTTGCCACTGCTATGGAAGGAGCTGGTGCTGCAGAGGTGCAGGTCGAAACAGCTTCTTGGGTTGGAGCTGGCTGCTGCAGACACTGCTGGATAAAGCTCTGAGCGTTGGGCATCAGCTGCCGTAAGGCAAGCATGCTTTTCTAGGTGAAAAAAGAAAAAACATTGGGTGTAACATCAGCAGAGTCTTCCACAATACTGATACATGAGCTACTGAATTCTCTTCCTCATCTTCCAACTTAGCTTTTCATGAAACAATTAATTGCTTATTCCAAACAAGTTTCACTAGCATTCAGGCACTCTTAAATTGACAACAATACTGAATCACCAACACAGGCTGAGCAAAGGTCAACAGTCACCACAGCTTCACTGCACGTAGCAAATCCCATCTATAGAGAAACGCACCCATAACTTTTTGTTCAGATTTTTCAGTTTGAAATTTTTATTTCAGAATAAGACCATTTTAACTGCTTTGCTACCTCAAAAAAACCCTTGTTTTCCAAAAAAAACCTGCTATCCTAACAGCTGTGTTTATTCCATGAGCCTGTCTGACCGAGAACTACAACTCATCCAATAAAGTCAGAAAGAAGCTCTGAAGATATGAGCACTTCTACACCAATACAGCTGTATCCACACTAGGGGGGGATACCACTTTAATAATGTCTGCAGAGCTGCAGCAGCACCACTTCAGCCAGACAGTTCTCTCCAGCAGGAGAACTTCAGGAAAGGAATCTGGCAACGGTTCATTTTTACTACAGCTGTGTTCGAGCAAGTTAATGGACAGAATAATCTTCAAGCCCTCTACAGATTTTTCTCCTTGACTATGTACAATCTGTTACGGCTCAGAACCAGGGGAAATCAGTTCTGCAGCTACCTGTATGTTCTATTTCGTCCCCCCCCTCCTTGGCAGTTACCAAAGTTTGTAAGTCTCCAGCATAGCGCTGTTCTCTGGGCTTCATGCAAAAGGAACAGGTCTCTCAGGCTAATATACCAAGGGAGTAAACGCAGATCTGGACCTTCTGTGGCACACCTATCTTTACTGTTCACTTCCTTTTCTTTTAAAAGGCTGCTCCGCTTTCCTCACGCTCCTGATGCAATTTATTTACCAGAAGTACTCAGTGCAGATTTGAAAATCAAGCAGGCTTCACAGCCAAAGTCACTGTACTTTTCTATCTATTGGAACAGACAAAACAAAACATGTGCAACCACTTCATCAAAAACCTGCAGCTCAAAGATAAGAGACAGCTCCAGAGAGTCCTCCCCAGAACTCCACTTTGCTAGCTAAAAGTGAATTGGCAACAAGCCGTGTCCTGTTTCTTTCCAGACTCGAGCTGCAAGCATTTCCCCAACAAACAAGGCCAGCACCGATCCTCGTGCCACGTTACAGAAGCGCTCCTGAAGTCAGCTTCCATCTGGCCCTCGGTCCTGTCACAGCTGCTCAGCGACAGACCAGACCGAACCGGTGCGTACCAACTACACATCCTTAAGGTGTTTCGGAAAAAAGCAACGAGGGTGCAAGATGTTTTAAAGGATGGGTAACGCTGCAGCGCCAGGTAACTGACCCTGACGATGTCTAAACAACGGCTCTGAAGTCCCAGTATTTCTCCGTTAACGTAGCATGCAAAGGGGAGAGCGCACCTTGCCGAGGATTACGGGGCGTGGATGCTGCCCCAAACAGGAACGCCGAGACCATACCAGTACCTGCCAGCACGCCACAGGGGAAACACGCAACAGCTCTGCTGCGGTGGGTCAAGGCCTGACCCGCACTGGTGAGCCCAGGGTAACCCCGTGGAACCGCCTCGAGGTCTGTGCCCAAGCGGGGCAGCGCTCCGCGCTGCAGGGTGGCTCACCGCCGCCGGCGGAGCCCTTCTGCGAGGGCAGCTCTGCGCCTGACCGGCCAAACCCTTGGGGCACCTGAAGGGAGGGAAGCCCCGAGTGCAGCGCAGCCACCCCCCGGCTCCCCTGCAGCAGCTCGTCCGGGGCTGCCAGGGCTCACCAGCCCCACAAGGTCCAGCGGTGACAGACTGAGGCTGGGTCCGCGCAGAGCTACTGAGGGTCACCCACGCTGTTTTGGGTGGGCCACACAGCGGCACCCGAGCTGGAAACACGCCGGCACGGCCAGCAGGGTTCACCAGCCAGGGCCCTGCGCTGCTTCTGGAATCAGCCTTGCCCTGGTCGCTAGGAAAGCTCTGCCGAGGCTCTGCCCAGAGCACAGGAACCTCTGCCAGGAGCGCTGACCCTGCACCCACAGCCTGCTCCTCCTGCAGCCACAGCTGCGCTGCAGCAGCACAGACCATACTCCGAGCTGTCTGGGGTTTTTTCCTAGTTTTTGCATGGGCATTTAAGAAGCCTCCAGGGAATTAAACAGAGAACAAGGAACTGACCAACATGACAGTGGTGTATCAAGCCCTGCAGAGATGACTGTAGTCTTCTAGACTCATGGCAAAGTTGCCAGCAAAGCATTTAAAGGCTGCCCCTCTAACAAAAATATTTATCCCACCCTTGAACACATTAAGACCTGCCATCCAAAGTAATATCAACATTATATTGTTACACGTGCTGTCAAATACTAAGGAAGAGGACAAACTCCAGAAAACCTCTGTGCCAGCTTTACCCCTTAGCTATTCTTCCTTGATTCTCCACCATGTCTATAACGAATGCCCAGGAAAAGTACAGGTCTATGAAGCTCAAGAACACTAAGTACAATGCAACTAAGTAAACGTAACCAAGTTTTCCATGTTTGCATTAGGATTTAACGCTTGCTGTACCACAAAGACGTTCATTTTTGTTTTGTTAACACTGTTCTACCACATGATGAAAAGTGTTACGAGAACAGATTTTAATTTACACGCATGTGCTTGAACGGAGGTAGTTGTCCTGGGTTACTCTTCCTACGCTGCGGTAGTCCTGTCGGACCCTTTCCAGAGAAAGGGGTGGGGTTTTTCCTCCCTCCAGTTAAACACAAATCAGCAGACAGAGGAATAGCTTTATGTAGATTCTTTGAGCTTAAATACTGCATAAGCTGTGCACAGCCACTGCTGTCAGTCTGATGTATTAGAACACAGAACAGCTGCAGTTCTGATGAGAAAGAGATCATCTTGGTATAGCTGCTCTACTGTAGATGCACCAGCTTCCAAAACATTAGCCTCCACTAACAACTAGAGGATAATTACTCTCCAGTTTAAGAACACAGCATAAATTACTCCTCCGAAATCCTCCCTCCCCCAAAAAAAATTGTCTTTCCAAGAGCAACAGTCACACAGTGCTAGGTTAAATACCATTTCTCCAACCGACCTGAGCAAATATCTATTTGAATGCTCTCTTTCCTTTCCTTTTTGGGTCCTCCTCCCTCCCCTCATTACATATTATATATCCACAATCAGACACTTACCTTGAGAAAAGGAACTAAATACGGTTGTGGAGATGACTTGAGTTCTACATACAGCTTTTTTGTAAATTCTTCTGGCTCAATTTTTGCTTCCTAAGAGGAAAGTATAATTACAATAGTCAGTTATAATAATGAATCTACCACATTTTTTCACAGATGTATCAAGAATTCATGGAAATTCACATTAGTGTTCAATTTCAGTACTCAAATGCTTTTTTTCTCTCCTGTATTTTTAAACAAAAGGTTTTAGGACAGAACAATGTTGTAATTTATAGTATTATCAAATTAAATTACTTTCTTCAACTACAGACAGTTAACATACTTAAGGATACTTGTTGAAACACTGAAATGAACCAATAGAAACAAGTTTATAAGTAGTACTGATCCTTTTGAGTACCTCATCCTTATAGAGAGATACTTAAAATCCTCTACAAGTACTCTTTTCCTGTAAAGGTAGTTTACCTGAATAAAGATCAATTTAAAGAGACAGAGACAAAAGACAACTCGGTAGTGTTTGTAAGACAATTCTAGCCTAATGCATACACAGCATAATAAAGCAGACCACTTAACACTGTCTTTCAAAAGCAGGAGAAACTGAACATCAGAGCATCACTTCTGCATACCACTGTGGCAACAGCCCTCTGGCTTGCAGAGTACAGCCTCCTTCCTTGACGCCTTCCACTCTGTCCAAACACAAACACCCGACTCAAGGGCTTGGGAGGGTTAGGAAGATGCAGCAGACTTCTGAGACCCCTCACTCACTAATTCAGTGCCACTACCACGGGGCTAAGGTGGTGGGCAGCCCCAGACACTGCTGCCTTTTCTCATCCTCCAGGTGAGGCTCTGCCCCACCAAGAACATTACGCCCTCCAAGAAGGGCCAGTCACTGAAGAGGGATCCCAGCACCCATCTCTGTCCTGCAGAGACATTACTCCTCTCACCCACATTCTCCTTTGTAACCATTCCCAGGAGGCACACGACCAGAGCAGGGGTTTTAAGGGCTGCACAGACAAACAGAACTTAGAGCGGCTCTCCTGTTTAGTCATTTGATCTGCTGCCCATTAGGTCCCACTCAGCTGTGGCTACAGGTCACCGAGGTCTCACCGATACAGATGGGGTGATCTGGTACATCTCAGGGCACACAGGGCGCCTGACACCCCCTTCATGAGATGCTGCTTTAAGGACCATTTTACTTCACAGCTGCCATTGACTCCTTTCCCTCATACACACGAAACATCAACTTATTTTGTGTTTAAATCATATACACATACTGAATGGCAGAAGAACAGCATTGTTAAAATACTACAAAAAGCAAGCAAATGCACAGGTAACGACATAGTAGTGTCTGGCAAAAATAGTTCCTAAAAAACCCCAAAAAGTACTGCAAGCACAAGAAGGAACAACTCCAGCATTTTCTCACAGAAGCAAGGTGCATAGTCCAGCAGGGACACAGAGGCAGAGGAATCAAGTTTTTGCAAGGCTGCATCTTCAAACAATCTGCTCTCTGAAACTGCACCCCTGTCTACCCCACGCTTTTCTAGACTGAAAAGTCCTTTGGTACTACTAGCAAAGCCACCCCCTTCCACCAGCCCACAGCCTTCTGCCACGGAGCAACAACAAAACAGCGGCAGCGGTCAAGCGCCAAGACAAGAAGTGGCAGCAGAAATCGTTACCCAGAAAACCCAGCGGGGCGGGGGTACGGCGTGAAGCAGCACACGGAAGCCACCTGCAAGGACAGAGCGAGCTCAGCAGCCACCACGTTATTTTCTCCGTCCCATTGTCTAAACACCTAGGTCACGTCATGCTGCTTCCACTGGAGCTTCCCTGTCAACCTGAGAGTCCGTTCCACCTTGCAGTAAAGCCGCGGTGTGGACTCAGCACTGTACCACCACCTCCGCGGTAATGCTCTTGCGTCAAGGACTCAAAACTACCCTAATATCGAGAAAAAAAAAAAAAAGGCAGCTCAGCCCCAGAAGCTGTGTTAACACTATCAGCTCCTCCTGCTGTCAGTTACCCATGTGCATAAAATGAAACAGGAATGTGAGGGGGGAAAAATACAGCATGGGGTCCAGTTAAAATAAGAGGTATAATGTAAGGCTTTGAGAGAGTCAAGATGTACTCAGCCAGCACAAATCCAACTCTTCAGCTGTTTAAAAGAAGACACAAGAACTATGATGAAGTCAATGTCAAAAACCCCACAAATTAAGCAGACTTTGTTTAAAAAAAAAAATCTCACCAACAGATTTTGCACCAGATTCTTCACGTTCTGCCCCATCTCAGGGGCTTGAGTTCCACTAGATGCCAGTTTTATTAGCGTAGCAAGAAAATTCTTGCATTTCTTCACATTCTCTAGCATCTCCTAGCACGGAAATAAAGAGAAGACTGTTAGATGTTGCACTGGCTCTCCAACCTCTAATGAATATAGAGAATGTTAATTTTTAATTAAAAACTTTTTTTTCCCTTACTGTCGAAGCGCTGGTCTGTGCTACTGTTGTGCCCTCTGCTTTCACAGAGACTGCCTTTTGGGAGACAGCTTGTGCAGGTGGTCCTGTAACTGGAAGTTTTACAGGTGTTCCAGTACTCGAAGGCTTTACAGCAGCAACCGCAGGAACACTAGCTGTTGCAGCTGCTGGCTGAAAAGAAAAATTAACACTTTTTAGCCAAAGACTAACGTGACAAACATACTATATTCTGCCAGAGTGTCAGGTAGCACCTTCCCTCCACACTACTACTAAAAAAATAAATTATTTTTATCTTTGTTTTAAAAGTTTGGATTCACTTGCTTTGAGAGGCTCTGTTTAATACAGTGAGTGACAGAACCCCCCCCCAGCCATAACTGTTTTTAAATCAAGGGCAGTGGGAAGAAATGACAAAGGCTCACCCAGATGGAAGCACTGCCTGCAACTTCAAATGAAGAGAGAAAGGTAAAGGTGTCCTGAGGAAACCAACACATTAACTTTGCCATGCTCCTACACTCTAAGACTAATGAATTTTGGACAATGCTAAGCCAAGTTATACCACCCTGAAGAGAAATAGGTCCTTAAGCGATTATTTGTCTTCCTTCCTTCCCCTGCATCTCCTCTCCCAACTGCAATATCCCTCACTTTGCCTATCACATGCACAGCAGGCAGAAGACACTGTGTCCACCTTGGAAGGCCGCGTGTGCCAGCAGAAGCAGACAGCTGAGCAAATGCACCTTAGAAGTGCTCCCTGCTTTTTCCTTGTGGGCAGCAATTTGGACCCATCTCTCCTCTGCCCAGACACAAATCGTCACAAAACTCAGTTATTTTGAGATCTCTTTTTAACATCTCATTAGAATTTTCCAACAGATTCAGAAGCTCCAGCAGTGAAAGAATAATGGTGGTTTAGGAAAAAACAACACAATTGCCTCTCTCCTTTGCAAATCAGGCTCAATAATAATTTCAGGAGGAAAACCTACTAAATTGAAGTATTTCTACTTCAGATTTTAAAGAAAGAAAGAAAGAAAAAACCCCACACCCCCCCACAACAACCCCCCCACCCAAAAAACCCAATACCGTTGTTCTGATACAACAGAATACAACAGGAGTAAAAGACTTTGCCTCTACAAAAGCCACAACTTTCGATTTCTCAATTTGAAAACTAAAAAGTGAAATTGAACCTGCAGGTTACAGAAAAGCAAGTTTCAGGTTAGCATTTGAAACCCAAAGTTGGGTGTCGTTTTTCCTCCAAACCTCTGAAGCTAAAGGGAAAGTCTGGGTTCATAGGCCAAATTCTAGGCTCACATTTGCACAACGCAGTTGTTTTCACTAACTCTTAACACATTTAAACACCCCAGTTTAGTCCAACAATCCCAAATTAATACTTGTTAATTGCATTAACAAGACAGTAACACAAGAGCGTAACTTACCCTACCATGGATAAAACAAAAACTAATCAGAATTGGACAGGCATCATATAGAATATCAAAGGGCTTTTAAGTCTTTCAGGATAGGGAAAATGAATGAACAAACATTTAAAGCTAAAACAAAACACTAGCACTTTTGTCATTTATTTATAATATTTTTTTTGCCCAGGGTGAGTTGTGTCCCCCCTCCCCAAGCTGCTGCCAGCTTGACATGAAAGAAGCAGGCAGGTACCAGAAAGCTTTCCAGCTTAGGCTCCCACCGTTGGTAACACTTTAATAGCTCTCTGCAGGATCTTTGCCACCACCACTGCCTCTTCCAGGATGAGGCTCAGCAGCTCTAAGACCACGGGGAGGCAAACTGGGCACAAGAATCCCACAAACAGATGGACGGGAGGAAGATGGAAGGGGACGGAGAACGGATCTGTCAAGCTGCAATGCCCTGGGCTCTTAAAAGTTGAAAACATGAGGTTCTCAGGAGCTGATCTCTTGCAAATTCCAGCATGTTTACACATCAAGACTGGAACGGCATTTTATCAGCCGAGGGAGGGAACAACAGGACGTCTGCTGGACCCTTTTCCCAGGAAGATGACTATATGGGAATTAACTTCTGTCACCTGCCCTCAACCTTTTTCACTACTGACAATTCTCATTCTCACTTCGAACAACAGAGAAACAGTCGCCAAAGAAATGGCATTAATCCTGCATATTTTGAAGTAATTTCAAGAGAAGCAGCGCTCTGCATCTAAATGAAAGCGCCCCAGCATGATGCTAATTAGATACTTTGCAGCTTTGTTACCCCATCTGGGAAGAAGGTAAAAAATAAAAACGTGCAGGTATTTTGTCTGACCTCAGAACTTAAAAACATCCAGGAACATCAAGAAATTTAAATGTTTTTTGTAGATGAGGAAAGTAATCCTGGAGTCAGTTACTAGAGAGTTTTGCAGGTAGTAGCGTTCCAAGTTGTAGTTTGCACAAGGTAGGACATACACAACCAAGCCAAGGATTGTTTCCCCTCCACTCTCCCCTGCTTTTTTGTGATGACATCATACTTCCACACCAACACTCCTCTCCTCTGACCTCAAAAACTGTCAAGACTAACATCAAGTTCTTTCACGACTGACGAATGGATCGGTGCCAAGGAAATCAGAGCCAAGGGCTCTTTCTTCCTTTCCCCAGACAGTTCCTACAACTTCAAGCACAGGCTCCCTTGTCAGCACTCCTTCCCTTGTCCACCCCAGGGTGAGGAGGGAAGTGGCCCTGCAATGGCAGGGTGTATCCCTATCGCGCCTCTTTTCTCTTTTGTTGTACGAGGAGGTTGTACAGAGGGCTTGGCAATCCTCTGCTCCAAGGAAGCCACTCCAAACAAAACAGCGCCATTAATTTTTCCTAGAGTCATTGTTCCTGCTGTTTAAATCCAGCCCTATGGCTTATTAGAAGTGTTCAAGATTCTACAATGGCAAAAAAAAAATACAGCTTACAAAAAATACTCCATGTCTACCTCTTGAAGTATCTCAGAAGAACAACATTTAAATTAATTACATCAAAACTAAGAAAGTACAGAACTGAGTCACAGGCAGATGTAAGTTAAAAAAGTAGAAGTTAATAGCATGATGAATCTCAACGTTTATCCACATCAGAGTGTGAGGGTGCACGCAGCTTCACCCGTCTGATGGAAGAAATCTTCACCTTCATCTGTGCTCCCCAGTGCAAGGGTAGTCCACTGCCTGACTACTGCTTTTATACCCTTAAAGATCTCTATGGAGAGATGACAAGCACACGGTTTGCAAGCTAGCATTCCAAAATAACAGTGGGTAAGGAATACCCGTCACTGCTCTTAGACACAAAGCATATGTTGTTTCCATTCTAAGGAAAACAGAAAATGCATTAAGAGGGGCCTCTGGGTTTTCCCCTTTAGCCCCAATATTATCCATTTGTAGTGAGAAGGAAGAGAAAAAAAGGTCAGAGCTGTGAGTAGTGTTCAGTTCCTGATACAGAAGAACAGCAGGATGACAAACTTGTAAGTCCGACTGTTAGTTACCACTGTCAGCAAACATATCCCCGAGTCGTTCAAACCCCCCCAGGGTCAAGAACATATGTCCAAGCATGGTTTTTTGAATGACTGATCCTGCCCATTTACCGAGTGCTTGGTCAACCCAGGCTCCTTCAAGCGCGTGTTCACCAAAGATACGTACAAGCCAGACTTCTTCCCGATTTCTCCTCTGGGTTATGAGGAGGACAGAATATTTCAGCTGCAGAAAGAAGCAGTTTTGTTTTCATCACACCTGCTTATCCAGAACTCTAGGCCCCAAGAACAGAGGATGAACTGTATCTAGGAGATGTGTCATACTCTACAGGTAGCAAGATCCTCTTCAGAAGAGTCCTACAACATTTTTCGCCAGAAAAAGAGAAATAAGACCTAGGAAATAAGACAAAAACCACTACCTAAAAATAACACCGCGTTTCCAACCACTGTCTATTTACAGTCGTATCTGTTGAACCTCGATACCAAACTGGAGAAGAGAGGTCTTCAGCTATGACCTTCCTTCAGCTTTTAATGAGGGGAAAAACACATAGATCTGAAAAACAGCTCGACCAGTACAGACGGCACATTTTCCCTTCAACAACGTCCCAGGTATACTTTTTCCCCCCCTATGGAATCAGGCAACCAGCGAGCATTAGAAAGTCTCCATCTCCCAGAAAAGCATCAGCTAGAGCTGGAAGGAGCTGCATCATAGGGTACAAAAGCACTGGAACTGGCTCTCTGAACTATTTATTTTATCCACTGTTCATGCAGTGAGAGACGATGAGCTGACACACACTGGCAGAAGCATAATTAAATTATGCATTTAAAAAAAGACATTCAGGAAAGAATTTATCATGAGGACAAATGTTCTCAGCTCAGTGAAAACCAATTAGAGTTAGAAATAACAGGAATGCTCCCGTACTTCCTTCAGTTCCCTCTGTCACTTATTCTTACTCCACCACACTCTAAAGCTTGCCACCTACCTGTATTGCAGCAGGTGGCTGAACAGTAGAAGCCACAGCATTAGTTGTTTGAGATAATGGTTTCACAGGAGTTGCTGCTACTTTCTTTAATAACTGGGTGCCAGAGTTCTAAAACAAAAATTAAATTAAACATGTGCAGAGAACAGTTGTCAGACAAGTCAATGACAAAACAGACACTGAAGTTAGTACCTGCTCTTGACCAACATAAACCAAGACACCCACTCCTGCAGTAACAATACAGGCATCATTCACCTAGCCCATAGAGTTTAAACAGAGTTCCACAACGCTATTTGTCTACCAGTTTAATACTCAACAACAGACTCAGAGACATTTAGACACAATGCCTAATCACCATAAAACAGTTCAAGGATAAGCACGTTGGCAAGAAACACGTAGATGGTTACTTTTTTGTACCCACTCTTACTCTTCTCTGCTGAGCACATTACAAGAGATGGAAGCAAAAAGCCAGCAGAGCTCAGGGAAGAAGGAATGGACATGGGACTTGTGAAAGGTCCTCAGCTTCACTCAGCTTCAGAGAAGTATCCCACCAGGGGAGCACAAGGTTGCAGTTACTAGCAGCAACCATTTAGGTAGGTTTTTTGGGTTTGGGTTGTTCAGTTCAGTGGGGTTTTTTCCTCTCCTTAAAACTCTTTAAATCATCATCACCAGAGATTAATTCCTTAATTTGAACGATATCATACGTAACACCTAGCAGTTTTTTCAAACTGAGAAAGTAAAACACTTAGTGATATTTATGTGCAAAACCAAACACCATCATGCTATTCAGAAAGCATCCCAATGTTTATTTAACCCTCCATAGCTTACTTGCAAACCCTGTTATAACTACATAACATACAGCTGTATGAAAAATGAAAGCGATGAGAGCAGTTACCTGTACGGCACATATTCTGACTGCAGGTGTGCTGGTTGGTACAGATGGTCTCACGTTTGTGTTATTTTGTGGCTGATTCTGAGCTCGTGCTATTGCTTGTTGAGATACTAGCATTAGTTGGCCACTACTGCTTCTGATAAGAACAGTTCCTGTTGGAGAAAAACAACCAGACTGTTAGAAAAAGCAATATTATTGCTTTCCTATGCTTCTGGGGAAGAAATAACTAGACGACACCGATAAGATAATGTAATATTTAGTTTCTCACTCCAAGGAACAGCTGCAAAGAAACATAAGAGCGAAGCGTACCTCAGCTTTCCTCTGCATTTTATGACAGAAAACAATTCCTAAAGTCAAGAGAAAAACTTAACTAGACAGCCACATCAAAACACTATGTGCATACAAGATGCAAATTGCAAAGCAGTTCATCATTTGAGTCAAAAAGATATTTCGGGCATTAAAAAGACAGACACACATCCCACACCCACACTCTGGGATTACTTTAAGCGTAACTTTAAGCAGTTCTTCAACGTGCAGAATTAATCCCCACTGCCACACGTGGCTGCCTCTATACATCTTCACTTTCTGAGCATTTAGGCACGTACTTACAGATGAAGATATGGTTTACAGAAAACCTGCAACAGGAACTGAAGCCTGATTAGTACCAGTTCCCCTGCCTATATCAAGACCATACCCCTCAGTCAGAGGGCAGTGGTCTCCAAAGAAAGGTCAAGGGCATTTGAAGCTGTCCCTCTGTCAAGGGTCTGTCCAAAAGCATTAACACGCACGGTTTTAATCAAAGTGGCTTACAGCCAAATAGGGAGATTGCAATGGGAAAGAAAGGGGAGGGGGAAGAGGACACCCTTCTGCCTTGTCTCCTTGCTTTTTTGTGTTTCCTTTCAAACCCACAACAATGTCAGCCCATCAGGACTCAACTCCTACCACCTCTCTCCTACCCCATCAGCTGTAACGACAAACAATTAAACAGTTAACAAACAATGAGTATTTTTACTAAAGCTTTCAAGTTAAAATCACCCTAAGGGGAATCAGTCAGATGCCACAACACAGTCCTGTCTCCCCTGAGCCTGGAAACCACTCAGCTGCCAATGCCTCCTCCTCCTCCTCCCCAGCCCCCTAAGGGCTTGGCTCTGGAAAATCCAGACGTTTCACCAGGCTCACAAATACAAAATGCCAGCTGGACCCCTGGTCTGAACGGCTTCAGATCCTTCGAGGGAGCTACAGAGCCCCCTACCTTTGCTGGTGCCTCCCCTCCTTCACCTTCAACAGCAGCTGCTGCAGAGTCCACCACTAAGACCATCACCCTCGAACACCTCGCTTCACAAAGGTCTTTCACATAAAAGAAAGAGAGGAAGAACAGGACAATGCCAGATCTGTGAATAAGAGCACCTCAACATTTTCAGAGGACTGCATTAAACTTTCTTGGAAGTTACCCAGTAGCTGAAGAATCCCAGATCTTCTGTGCATGCTTAGGATCTTTCCTAGTGTAAAACAAGACTGCATCAATGAAATAGTCTTCTTGCTACCTGGTTTGTCTGGAAGCTGACAAAATGTTGCTGTACAATACAGCCTAAAACACTGCTTCTGTCCAAGTTCAAATGAATTCAACAAGAAAAGCCACAAGCTCCATGAGTTGAGTTTTGTTTTCTTAAAAAAAAAAGATCAAGCTGTAACCACATGCTTAGAAACAGCTTTTCATCCTCCACATCTAAAAGCATAAGAGGATATTGCAAGGCAACACAAAACTTGGTGTAAAATTCTGTAACGTCAACATATTGCCATTTACTTAGCACACCAACTGAGACTGCAAGAGTAGCATCTACACGAGTCCCTCCTTTCTCAAGCAGCCTTTACTACATGGGGCAGATGCACGAGACAGTTGCATATCCAGAAAAATACTGTTACTCCATCTGACAACTCCGCTGTTGAAAACAACATTTATGTTTTACTTCTGGATGCCCAAATTTACTTATACTTTTCACAACTTAAAATCCTTTTGTTCTCCCTTTCTGCCTTGAAACAAAAGCAACTACCCAACTCTGAAGTCAATAGTGCAGACTCCAAGAGGAGACACAGGTGCCCTCTGCCAGAAGAAAAGGTTCCACAGCACTCAAAACCAAGGCCCGAAGTCTCATACACCATGTACAGCTGAACAAGTGTGAAATGAGGGAACAGCAGGTGATAACCTTGAGGTTCTCCATAGAAAGGTCACGTACACAGAATCGATGCTACTATCAGAAATGAAGTGCGAGCATCCATATTCTTCACTTGAGGGGAAAAAGAAAAAAAAAAGATGTTTGTTATCAAGAGCTGTTTTCACATTCACTAGAAGGCAATTTTTGATAAACTAAATGTGAAAACATATCAGGTCTCGCAGTTGTTGCAACTCCACAAGAAAACAGGGAGTGGGGGAACCTCTGAACAGCCAAAACAGTGAAGTTTCAGATAATGCCGCTCAACACAGCATTTAAAAATAGAAAAGGTACCTGCAACCCGACCAAAACATCAGCACAACTGTAGTTACTGAACAGCAGCCCAGCAGCTTTGTAACACCAAAGGAGCCCTCTCTTGGGCAGCCCTTCCAAGCAAGCACCCTTTACAGGATACACAGCCTGACGGCTTCACTGAAGTTGTTTCAGAGAACAGGAGATACTTTCTCACCACTCGTGCACTTTGACAGGAGGAGTAAGGCACAGTCCCTCCCTTTGAGGCTACAAGGCTGTTCTGCTTTTCAGACCACAAACGGAAAACCCGAGTGACCAGTTAGCAGCAGGGATTAGCTCTTACATGCTTCACTGGCGGACGTGGGTGTCTCTTGCAGATTAACAAACAGCCCTGTTTACAACAAATATAGACTTCTGTCTCTAGATATTCTGCCTGTCCTGCCAAAAACATCCTTTGTAAAGTTATTTATTCTTCTTGACTGCCAGAGAAGGCTGGGGGGGAAGGAACTGACAACCAAAACCCAGCTCAGCTTCCTCCAAAGCTACACAGAAGGAGCCACGCTATAGCTTCTCACCTTGAAGGGGTCTCATTGAGATCTACACCCTTTCTCCCCAGTGGCCTGCCTTCTCCTGGAACAGGGGCCCCAGGAACCATGCCTCCAGAAAGAGCGCCCGGTGTCACTCCTGCAAAGCTCAGGCAGCCACCACCCAGAACAGCCTCTACCTAGGCACGCCACCAGCACGTGCCATGCAAAACGAGATGCCTTCTATTAAAATTCCATTTGCTGCTCACACCTGAGATACCCCCGCTGTAAATGTTTGCTTTCCCAGTACCACCAGCCAAGGAAATGGTTAGAATGCACTCCAAATTTTCTAAGCTGTAGCTCTGTTTAGCATCCAACCCAGGAATCAAGAAACACAGGTTAGCAGGAGGAGCAACTTCCAGATACCTTTTCATTGTAACTACAGACAAAGAACCAAAAACCTCACCAGAGATATGGACAAGAAGCTGCGGGATCATGGCACAGATCTGTTTATGCCACTGCACATAAGGCCACCTGCATGGGCTTCACTGTATTTCGGGGAACAGCGTCGAGGAAACCACACTGTTATTAACGTAAAGCTGCGCTGCCAACCAAAGCTCGGGGTTTCCTCCAGCAGCACTAAACACCAACGTATGCTAAAAGCATCCCACCATAAGGGCAACTTCCACCATTAAATTTCTACCACGTAAGACAAGGCTGAAGCCATTTCTGAAGGAGAACATCCAGAAGGAATTTCCTGGGATAACCAGCCAGGTGTGCTCCAGTAGAGATACACCACATGCTGTTACACGTGAAGCTGAAGTTGTCAAGTTAAGCCACCACTTCAATGACTTGGTTTCCAACACAACTGGTTCAACATGACAGCTCTTCAGAACTGCTGGCTGGGGAGCAACGTGACAAAATGAAGAGTCTTGCTCCTAAAACAAAATCCAAGCAAGAACCAACTGCACTAGACCCAACTCATTTAAGAGAACACGAGTTACAAAAGCCGCTTTCAAGGAAGGGTCCGTTTAGGCTTATTTCAAGACAAGGGGTGCCTGCATCAGGCATGTTGCCAACCTAAGTAAGGTTCGCTTTAACACCAACTGAAAATACAGAGCTAAATGAGACTTTCAGGTCCCCAGTCAGCAAGCAAATAGCTTAACAACAACAATGTTTTAAAACAACAGTAATGGTTCAGTGCTCTCTGTTCCTAAACAAATCTCATTCTTTCACTCAACTACTCAAAACAAAGGGATAGCTTTTAAGGCAGTTACAAGGCAAGACCAAGCTTTAAAGGGGATGTTTTAGTAGGAAACTGAATGGCAGCTAGAAAGTAATGACTAATCCATGCAACAGCTTTGAAAATAGTTTTTCTCTCTAAAGGTATCCTTTTAAAAAACGCGCTTTTTTTTCTTATTCAGCCCCATTTATTGAGCCAACAGAACAGGTCACTTAAAAGTTGCAAAAACCCGTTACAGGACTGAGACAGACCCAGAATGGGCATTATTAGAGACATAGACTGTTTAGGCAGTGATCAGATCAAGGTGTGTTATGTTGTAGACTGGCTTTAAAAGACTGCTAAAGAGGCAAAAAGTGTTAATGGAACACCGTGAGAGACAGGATCGGTAAGTCTGATACCAAAGTGACTTAACTTTTACATGACTCGCATAATCCTTCTAATACGCTGGGGCCGTATGTTCTCAGATGAAGTAGGGGCTGTACCGCACGTAGGAGAACTACTTATTCCCCATGGCCCTCACTTGGCACCCGGGTTTTCCTAGATGTCTACTGCAGATTTATGTATTTAAGATGAAGAAATGAAAACAGCCCAATCTAGAGGCAACATCTCGCTGTCTTAGGAACGAGGCTACAATGAAGGTCTGGCAGCCACCCAAGGTCGCCTCACCGCAGGCTCCCAATGATGGACTCTAACTTCCGACAATTGATATTCTGGGAAGTCATTAAGATGGTCTGTTTGGGGCTTTTCTTGGGAAAACATCAGATTGCTCTTAGATATCCCAGACAAGTAGGATAGAGGGCTCATCTACACCATATGGGTCAAGGTGAGTTGCTCAGCTTGTACACTACACCCACAAAGCATTTTACTCCATACAACAAATCATTCCAGCCTTTGGCAGTCAATTTTAGTTGATGCAAGAGGAATTCAGCAATGATCAGCCCATAATCAACACTGTTATGGCAGCAACCAGAATCACTTGCCTCATACCCAGACCCTCAACCAATTCATTCTGTTCATATGTCGTTTCACTAACCAAATAATTACATATCTCAGAAATCACCCTCTGCACCTTTTCCCTCTGTTCCAGGGAAGTTTCTGTACTAATGGGCCTCTGTAGCAATGGCTCAGGACCAGTGACTGGTGTGCAGATATTGTAGTGTCACTATGAAAGGCCCAATTTTGAATTCCAACGAAAAGCACCTTGTTTTGCCCACAGATATGGAATTTACTAACTTCAGGAGAAAAGTTCAAAGGGCATAATCCCAACATGTATGTACAACAGAACACAGCCCAAATAAAATACAATTCAATGTTATTCCCTCAAGTTCTTTAAAGAAGTTGAAAGCACCTTTGCCAACTGCACAAACACCACACTGCAGATTCTTGTGGACGCTGGTCTACATCTTTTAAGGTTGCATCAGCCTCGGATGTCTGACATCTCGCCTTTCCAAAGCCAGGGACCAGCCTTACTTGCAGACATCACTGACCAGTGACAGCACCATTTCACTAGCATTACTGTTTCCCAGACTGCCTGGGTTGCTGTGAGCAGCTTTTTAAACCACCACACACCCACAAGTCGGTCACACTAACAGCTCGAGGGACGTACACTCACAGCGAAGGCTGCTGCCTCCAGTAACGCTAACTTTTCTCTAGCAAGGTTCTGTGCTAACAGTGGGCACCAGCTCCTGAGACGCCCAGTACAGGCACAGCCTTTTCAAGCATAGGAAGTGAGGAAAGGGATGAAGATGTCTCTTCTAAGAAGGATGGAGCAGAGTCTGATAACCTATTGTTTCAAATAGTCTGGAATAACAGACGCCATGCATCTTTCTGGAGAGTCTAACCACACCCCTTCTCTCTCCCCTCCTCCAGGAACTAGACACAAAGTGCTGAAAATGCAAAAATCTGAAGCCAAGTTTCACACACTGCTTAACCAGTAAGTCTTACCCAGGCTACCTGCTCACCAACGCATTCTGGTGCCCAGGCGGATCTCTCTAACAGACCAGCAGTTGGGCCCCCATAGTGCTGATGCCTTTTCGCAGAATACACGCCCAGGTTTTAGACCTAAGAGTACTCCTCGACTGCATGCACA